GGCATTGAGACGCCAAACGGAGTTCTCCGAACAGAATTCTGCACTGGCGCGGAACTCACGCTCGGCGCCGACAAAGTCGTCATCACGCCAGTAAATCCATGCCCGTGCCAATACAACCGGCATGTAGCTGAGTGGAAAAAATTATATTTTCATTAAGATTCAATAAATTAAATTAAATAAACTTGAAATTACTCACAGTTCCAAAGCGTTCTCATAGTCCTGCAGAGCACTGCGTAGCGCCAGTTGATCGGTAGTGCCGCGCATCTCTTGCACTTTGGCAGCCAAGCTACGTAGCTTGCCTGCTAAACTAGAGGCTAAGACTCCTAGTTTCTTCTCTGCCAATTCTGAAGAAGTTTGTGCTGTTATCAAAGCGTCGAGCAGCTCGTAGAGATACTGGTTTTGTAGAAAAGAGTAGAAAAGTAAAATGAGAAAATTTTTTTAAAACGATCTTTGTCAAAAAAAAAGGCGGAAGGTCCTTATCGTTACATAATAATTCCTCTGAACCACTCTAAAAGATGTGTCAAGATACTTGGACTAAAAATAAACCTCAAAATAATTGACTTGAATAGACATTTTTAACATGTTAAGAAAATGTATAAGGTAACTATACTCGGATTTTTCTTCGTTTTGCAGTTTCTTCTTTACTAACCGAGTTCAGCTTAAAATAGTTGAATTAGAATAAATCTTTTTATCTAGTCCTGGGAACAAGTTGCAGTGAACAAGTGCTGAAAATCGTTTTTAATTAAAAAGTCACCAAAAATTAACAATTGATTTATATATGGAGTAACGTCAATCAAGAATAATAAAAAATTATAGTTATATATGTCTAAATATTTGTCGCTGAGTCAGCTCACTAGACGTCATTCAACTAATGTTTACCTCCACCTCTCTAGCAATATCCCTCCAAGCATGTAATCGTGGCTGTCATCGAATTCGGTGTGTATAATTTTTTTCCTAATAACCGTCCTTTAACGGCAAGTTCAAACACTTCCATTGTATGAAAGCTATAAAGCCTCGTAAGACCTCAAAATTTAGGAATAATATCCATATATGTCGAATTAACAATTCGCACGAGTCTTAGACGAGAATCTTAATCCGTAAAGTTATGCTTCTTATGCCTTATTCTCATAAGCCCCAAACCAATAGAAATTAAAAAAATCTGAATATTGAAAATTTCCAGCGCCATAAATACCTGTGAAAGATATTTATAGGTTAGATCCGTATGCTCCGCCAATATATCTGCGGCCATTTCGTACATCTCATGTTTACAACAAATCAATAAGATATTTGCAAAAGTCTCCTTCGGACAAGCTGGCGGTCCAAGCTGTAAAAGAAACGCTAATTTACGTAAACCGCCTACCGGACCTTTCGGATCAGTCAATGCCATATTATGTAATGTAACTGGATCTAATTCACTCTCGGAGCGTGGCGGCAAATCCAACAGTGAATCGTGTGCGGCATCCACTAGGAAATGACAAAAACAAGATATACAAATTAACAACAACACTAACACAACTGTAATTGAATACATACGATTGCCGTCCTGATACTCGATGGCCGCTTTCAAGTTCAACGCCTGTGTTATGCCCGACATGGCCATCGTAATTGGATTGCCGACACTTCGCGCACTGCCGTCGGTATCGATTTGCGCACCAATGCCCAACTCCGGATGATTGCGTATGCCGCGGTCCACAATCTCCGCTTTCAGGGCGAAAGTGCCAAATAAGAGGCGAAACAATAAAACAAGCAATTTAGTTTTAATTTCAATTTTTACGCTCTTTCCGTTTTATACTCACTAGTGTATTCCACGGCCTGTGTCTTTTCCTTCTTATGAAAATGCGATAATGCCAAATTGTATGCCACCAGCGGATTAAAGCCGCCCACTTTTAAAGCGTTCGAAAAACGCTGCACCGCCTTCTCATATTGGTCGGCATGAAAAAGTAGACAGCCTTCATCGTTGAGTGTTTCCGCATTGCCGGCGGCACGTTGATTTAATACACTCTGCGCACCCGCAAAATCCTCACTGGAGTAGAGTATAGCGCTCTGTAGTTGTAGGCAGGACTCTCGTAGTCCTTCGTGTTCACTGATTTGCTTTAAGGCGCGCAGTGCATCCCCGAAGATACCTGCCTGGTAGAGCGATTGTGCATAGTAAAATCTAAAATTGATTGTGGAAGTTCATTAGTTTATCCTGGTGCAATTGTAGTACTATTGCACTTACTTATATTTCGCTTCCTTCGGCACCAGCGTGCATAATTGTTCATAGCAAGTCGCGGCCTCTTCGTATTTTTGCGCGTGATAGTAGCAGTAGCCCAGTGTTGAAAGACCCGCTCTGGTGTTGGCCGCCTCACCAAAACTCACCATGCACTCAATCACATCATCGTAGCGCTTGTCTTTTATCTACAGCTCGAAATATCACAGAAAATATTTTATTGAGCCTTTTAACCGACACAATCATAATAATTTTTACCAAATTGTAAATGGTCCGAGTTATATGGCCTTCTCTTAAGATTATGCCTTGATGCAGCATTATTAACACAATCTATTTTTTCTAATGGTATATATTATAATATTAATGGTATTGATTGGTTTTAAAAAAAGAAAATTTTATTTCGAATGCAACTTTTCCAAACTCTCTGTACCCTTAAAAAATATATAAAACTATACCGGCCACTCAGGTTGTTTGTTAACTCCTGTTTGGTTTCCTTGGTAACTGGCCACATTTATGTGACACCAAGTGTCCATAACAAAGCTCCTTGCTTACAATACGAAGCATATATGTATGTATACTATAGCTCAACTAACGGTTGTTCGAAATGGTATAATCAATTTTTATTTAAAAGCTAGTTTAAATTTGGTTTTCATATTTTCATGCTAGTTATTTTGCTGGAGATATGTTTTCTGCACGTGAGCCTTCTGTCCAAAATAAGTAATATCATTTGCTTGTGGTACTAAGATATTATTAATTTTAATCGGCTGACACATTTTTGGTTTTAGTGAAAATGTAATATGATTACAGTTTGGTTCATTTACATTAATTCGCTTGATGCTCTGATGTGACATTGATTACGGGATACTAGGGCTGTGTCATCGGCAAAAGTCCTTGTTACGAGTTGAAATGTCTGCTGATATATTGAGTTGGGCTTAGCACATTCCCCTGAGGTAGCAACTTTAACAGTAAATTTCCTGTTTCGAAAGGAAATAATGTTTCAATTTATATAAAAGGCTTTCATGCCACACTTTATCGAATGCCTGAGCTCCATCAAGGAATATTGCTGAACAATACTCTCTGTACTCGAATGCCTTTCTAATTTCGTAAGTAATTCTATTCACTTGCTATACAGTGCTATATTTGGCACGAATCCCGAATTGAAACGAAACAGTTTATGTTATTTCCATGGAGGAAAGGAGACATCTCCATTAGCATTTTTGGAGTAACTTTATCGTGTTCTGATTTTTTGCATTCATCTCTTTTATAATATTTTTAATTTCAAAAGTTGAAGTCTTAATAGACAAGAGCGGCGTGTTAGCAGTGTCGGGCAAGGTTGGCAGATTAAAGTAATTTTTTGGATAATTAGGCTGAAATACCTTCTCTGGGTGGTTTGGAAAGCAAGTTGCCTGTTCCTCGTGACTTTGAAAACAATTACCAATCACGTCTCCTATTAGCATGTTGGAATCTACCGGTGGCTTAATTTAGTTTTGAGCTTTCCAAAGGGAGTTTTGCTTTGGGCTCAATTTCTTTATATAATATTCAGTTCTATATTATTTCGCGCACTTAAGCGCTTTTCTTAGTTTACGTACAGCATCCCTCATTGCAGCTGAGTAAAAGAAGATCGCTTTGCTTGCCACTCACGCCTAGCTTGCCTTTTTTTAGCTACTAGTTTCTCTATTTCATCATTTGTGATTTTTCGTAGGATAGGCGGCTTGTTGTTTTGTTTTTTGGTGTTGCTACTTTAATTATACTTTTATCATGAAATTCGCTTATTCTTAGCTTAATGTCTTTTCCTGAGCTTATTCAACGTCTGAACTTCAATGCCAATATTCCAAGACTTGTTTGAATGTGAAAAGGCCCTAGACTACATCGATAGTTTTTTTTTGATGTTTTGTAAAAGATTTCATCTTTGATATCCGTGAAAACGGATTCATTGAGATTAACTTCCGTCGGCTCAAACCATTTTATTATGTTATGAATAAAACAACTATTGAAGAACATAGATCTCTGTTGAAAATCAAAAGGATTCACACCAACAACTCGTAAATAAAACAACAATGGGTTTTAGCATACAACGTTGATGTTTTATTAAATGTTAATTTGTATTTTATGTTTTATTATTATTTCAATATGAATAAAAATTAGGTAGAAATCGTCTTACAAATTTACGCTAATAATTCAAGTGAAGGATCTACAAATAATCGCTTCCTTGTGAGTATATTTGTAAGTATATTTGCATGTAAATGTGTCCAACGAAAGAAGAAGAGTGCATATACATATTTATGTTTATAAGTCACTTAGGAAAATATGTGGGGGACACGCACGCGTTGCCAAGACCCGGTCTATGTAGCTACTCACGAGGGGGGAGGAGACAGGTGGTGTTGGTTCGTGCGTTTAATGAAGAAAGGCGTGTAAAGGCAAAATTAATTTTAAATTCACTTTTGTGTTTAATCACAATTTATATATGTATGTTAAAAGTATAAAAACAAATATATAGTTGACAAAACAAAACAAAAACAAATATAATAAATTTAAGCTAACACATAAAATATGATTGCACAATAAGCAGATATTACAATTATATTTAATAACATTCACTATTTACTTTACTCTGCTGTGGTTACATAGTATATACTTATACAAGTCCACATGCATAGCGCATGCATTTACATTTGCATATATATCTAAGTATGTATGCATGTTTATATGAATTTAACTGTTAAATTTAGATATTTATAAACTTCATTTGCTATTCATTCATGTTTTATGTGTAGTACAAAGATTTGGTAGATTTGGTTTGGTAGCTTCTCGGCTTTTGATTCATGTTATTTTGGATACACGTCTTTTGCGATTTTTATATATGGTATGTAAGTATGTATGTAGGGATGTCATGTTGTCGCAATAAACCACATTTTGCTTACATACAAACACAATACACATATACGCATATATATAAGTGTGTATGTATTGTATGTTGGCATTTAGCCAACTCGCAAATCTCTTACGGTTACTTAACTATGTATGTAAGTATGTCTGTATGCATGTATGTATCGAATTGTGCGATTTGGTGCCGGTGTGTGATGACTGCGCGTGGTTGCATTGATTTACCAGAAACCAGAAGACTTGCCACCTGGTGGATTTCTGACACGAATGCACGAGCGATTACCAGATTTATCCAGCTCCTCTGTAAGGAGATAGAAAAATAAATGTAAACGGAAAATAATACAGCTCTAAACACAAATCATTCACCATTTGAATTAACTAAGCCTGATTGCTTACCGCTAACGGAAAACGTTGATTCTTGCATGTTGCGTGTACCTTCGACGCGTCCCCGCCCAGATGGTGTACTGGCTACCGAACCCGCAGCACCCGGCATGGAGAGCAATGTGCGTGAGATGGGCTCCTGATAGGGTATTTCAATTTCCAAAGCGCCCAAATCCAATTTCTTCAAACCGTTATTCAATTGTTCTTCATGTTCCTCGCCATTGTGTTCTTCGTTGGCTGCAATCTTGCCCTCCAACACATCGTAGAGATATGGCGGACGTGTCGGTGTATTAACGAAGCGTCCATAACCTTCGGCTACGCGTACGCTGCCATCTTCGACGCAAATGCGTCCGCGTACCAATACCAATTCGGGCACACCATGACATACCATGCCTTCGAAAATGTTAAAATCGCATGCATGATGATGCGTCTCTTTGGAAATGGTGCGTGTAGCATTCGGATTCCAGATGACAATATCAGCATCAGAGCCCACGGCGATGCGTCCCTTTTGTGGATAGAGATTGAATATTTTGGCGGCATTGGTACTGGTGACGGCGACGAAGCGGCAGGGATCCAATAGGCCAGCATGCACACCTTTCTCCCAAACAACGGACATGCGATCCTCAACGCCGTTGACACCGTTCGGTATCTTGGTGAAATTGCCTTTGCCCAACTCCTTGTGTTCCTTGTTGAAGGTGCAATTGTCACTGCCGGTAGTCTGCAGATCGTCGCTGTTGAGCACAAATTGAAAATCTGCTTTAATAATTTAATATAATAAATTTTATTTTTGGTTATTTAGTATTATTAATAAGCACACATAGGCGTTAAAAAAGAGGGAATAGCGTTGAGAGGCTTCGCCCTTACCTCGCGCACGCTATGAAAACATAGAGAAATGGCGGATTAATGTTGTCTGCGTTCGGCAGAGGAACTAACAATGGCTTAGTGATTTAATGTATGGTTTGATTATTAGCGCTGTTTATGAGACGTGGCATAATTCCTCGAGAAATTATCAAAAAACAGGGTATACTACCATTAGAGTATGATATTAAAACTGCCGTTATTACTAACAAATTCTGAAGGACTAGGCCTTCTCATAAGAGTCTTAAATGCATATGTATGTACATATATAATTAGCCTTGCTATAAAACTTACAAAGTTTACAAGAAACACAGCGAGAACTAATTTGCACAAAAAGGTGCAGTTAATTTTTGTTATATTTTATCTTTTATTATCTATTCATACATACAGGTTGGTTGAGAAGTTTTTTCACTCGAAATGAAAAAATACTGTTTTTGGTACGAAATACATATATTATTAAATTCAATATAATCTCCCTTAACTTCAAGTCACTTATTCCAATGATCCTCCAATAAGTTTATGTCATCCCTATAATAACTTTCCGGAAGCTCTGCAAACTACCCGTCTACGGCTGTAACAGCTTCTTCAATCGACGAAAAACGCTTTCCACGAAGAAATTGTTTCATTGTTGAATACGGTGGATGCTCAAGCAATTCGTACTTTCATTCATTGTACACCGTTGTGAATAGGTGCATTGTGTTGATGAAAAATGATTTTTTTGTGCTGCAAAAGGCTGCAATAATATTCAGAGTTGATTGTTTTACCTTTCTGCAGATAATCAATTAACAAAATTCCTTTTGCATCCCAAAAAACTAATGCCATAACCTTCTTTGCTGATCATTGTAACTTCAACTGCTTTGGAGCTTAGCAACCAGCTACAGTCCACTGTAAACGTTCTTGTTTCAATTTAAGATTATGGTGGTAGATCCAAGTCTCATCCATATTTATAAAACGATGCAAGAAATAGGTTTTTTTCTGCTTAAAACGCTCTAAATTATGCTGCGAAATTTGTTTTCGATCCAGTTTTAGTTGAATTGTTAACGTGTGCGGAACTAACTTTCAAAACAGATATTTCATATGTAACTCTCCATGTAAAATATGAAGTACTCGTTCGTCTGAGATTCCTATGGCATTTGCAATTTCACGCTTAGTCAAACTTGGATCTTCACTAACAATCTTATAAACTTGCTCAATGATTTCTGGTGTGGTTGTGGTTTTTAGTGGTCCTTCGCGTGAATCGTTTTCAAGCCTCGTTTAAATTCACCAACCCAAAGTTCAACGGTGCGTTTTGAAGGTTCGGACTACTTATACACCTCTAGCATTTGTTCATAAATTTCCTTCGCTTTTAAACCTTTCAAAACAAAAAATCTAATCACTGCGTGATATTCAATTTTTTTCATATTAAAAAAATACTCTGACACGTCAACTTCAAATGGCTTGTAAACAAAGAATTAATTGACAGAATGACTTGTAACTTTGCATGTGTTCTCACGACAGATGTACCAACTTGAGAAAAAAAAATTTGGAGCTAGTAGTGCTATTTCTTGGTGAGACCAACCAACCTGTATATGGTATGTATAATAAGCAGTTCAGTGTTTGCTTTCGCAAGTGAGTGGGGTAGCTAAAGAAACTTGTATTGTGGTGTTAGCTTTACATAAGTATGTGTGGAAAAAGTGTGTTTGGAGTTGGTAACATTGTCTTGGACAATAATCCATAATATCGTGAAGATATCTTGTGAAATAAAATTTTTTTTCTATAGAATAAGAATTTGATTTTCAACCGTTCAGTTTCTATGGTAGTTTATGAGGTCCCTGCCGTTTCCTTCTGAGATTCAGAAACTTCGGGGCAAACATAATATATACTTTTCAGAATATAAAAAGTAATGGAACTAAACTATCGTCACATCTATTTATATCTTGGTTTTTTTTGGGGTTCGCAATTTTTTGCACTGAATAATGAATAGAAATTATTTTCATCGATGTTACCAAAATGAGAGATGTGACAACATACAGTTCAATATATGAACGAAACATATCTAATAAATATTTATGAATGTGACTATAACCGTAAACCGTGAATGAGAAAAATTATCTACTCTGCGCCATGTACCCTTACATCCACATCGATATGTATGTATGTTTTGTGCTGGGATACTTACTACGCCAGCGACTTCATCAATTGCCTTGGCGTTTCGGCCGATTCGCGTATTGGTGGACTAGTTATGTAATACAAACGCTCCTGCTGACGCACGCCATTCATTGAGCGCCCAATTGAACTGGCCAAAGTTTCGCCGAACACAACGTAGCCGCTGCGACGGGCGCGACCAATAATTTCCGCCGACGATTTCGAAGTGATGCGAGTAACATAGAGCGGTGTCTTCATCTGATCCGTTATGCAACATTCAAATGCGATTTATTAACATTAATGTGTTAATATTAGCGGGTAGTAAGCATGTGTGTATGTGCGTATGTGAGTTGGTATGAGTGGGAGAAATAGTATGCGAAATAGACAAAAACAGAAAAAAGAAGACAAACAAACAAAATAATTAGCAAAATTACAACAAATAGTAAATACACATACCAGAATAACGGTATTTGTGTAATTAAAGTTAATTAAGTAATGAGAACATTACAAATGTGTTTATGTGTACATATAATATTTATGTAAGTATGCATGTGACTTTATCCATCGACATCGCAAATGGGTTAAATTATGTGTGTATACCATATATGTATATATGTAATGCAATGCATGCAATGTAGAAATTAGTGGGTGCAATTGCGAGCAACACTAAAATTCCAATTAAATAATCCAATGCCAAATTATTTCCTCGAACGTTAGTACATATGTATATTAGCCGAATGTTATGTGTGAAGCAAATAACCTGCTTCAGGTACACCCTTTGAGAACTTACTTCGCCAATAGGTTCATCATAAAGGCGGGCGTCGTTGGATCGGGTCGTAGCGGTGGACTGAGCACGTGACCCGCGGCATGTTGGAAGCACTCGTGCCAGTAGTTGGTGCCGTCGGTACCGAGTGCCGCAGCCAAGGTTTCGCCATAGATGACGGTATTCTTGTAGCGTCTGCGCGCACGCGCCACCTCAATGCCTGCCGATTTACTCATTACATGCACTACGTATAACGGACAATCGACCTTTTTTGGTGACAATTCGTTGTACAGTATGTTTGGGGGTTGTGGTGATTGGAGTGGGGGGAGTAGCGTGGTAAGGTACCATTGATTCGGTGAGTTGGTGAGGTGTATTGGAAGGGCATCGAGTGGTATTTGACGGCATATATTTATGTACATTTATTAATGTATACATGAGTATGTACAAAATGAAATTAAAAAAGGAAAATTCAATTCAAAAATTAAAAAAATTAAATAATTAAACTTTAATGTATATAATTTAATAAAAATACGAATAGATATAACGGTATATACGAGGTGTGTTCAAAGAAAATAGTGCATTTTGATTTTTTGCTGGCTGTGTACTTTCGATTATTGATATTTTGCTTTTGTTATAATCGGACACATATATTTATCATGTGCTTGCATTAAAAGGGTCATAGGGTAATAACAGACATCCGAAGTTCAACTCGTTTCGTCATCCTAATCACTTATATATATATAACCCTATATCTATTTCGATTACTTTTAGGTGATACAAACAAGCGTTAGGTGAACAACACTATTATACTCTATAGCAACATGTTACAAGAGTATAAAAAACGTTAACTTCGGGTGCACCGAAGCTACAATACCCCTTGAAAATAAAAAATGTTCCGTACAAGAACTTGAGTTCGATAGTCAGTTTGTATGACAGTTATATGTTATAGTTGTCCGATATTGGCGGTTCCTACAAATGAGCAACTTCTTGGTGAGAAACGGTCTTAAATTTAAGATCGATATCTCAAAAACTGAAAGACTAGTTCGTGTATATACAGACAGACGGACGGACGGACAAACAGACGGACATGGCTAAATCAACTCAGCTCATTATGCTGATCATTTATGTAAATATTTTATAGAGTCCCTGACGTTTTCACTGGATGTTACAAACTTCGTGGCAAACTTAATAAACCCTATTCAGGGTATAAATATTAAAATCAGTATAGCTAAGAATTTAACACTATCGTAATCAAAACGAGCTGTGAAACTTTGTTTTTCTGTCATATGAATTCCAAAAAAGTAAAGGAATAAAGCTGTCGCAATCTTGGAACCCTAATTAGTGGGATAAATTTTATTGCTGTGAAAAGTTTTCACTTTATACATTCCACAACAACATGAAGTGTAATCAAAGACTATATTACTTTCGTTACTTGGTATAACATGAAACGATCTTTACTCATCGGCTGGCTAGTGCCTCGAGCCTATTTCTATCACTGAAAAACTTATAAAATCCGCTGCACACTCGGAAGCTGGTTATAACTTGGGACCTACCATATATTATATAATAAGCAGCAATGATATGATCGTCGACCCCAGAGACAATCAATTGATGAGAGGAATTTCTACTAAGGGAGTACCGCCTCAAACCATGTTATATAGCCAGTTAAATGTAATATCTAATGAAAGATTAAGGTTAGTTTATTCCGGTTCAACCGAGGCTTCGCTTCCTAAAGCCCAATATTGCGTTATGGGATATCTGTATGATACTTTATTACCTGTTGGTTGAATATTTTATTATTAAAACAAAATATTCTGATGAAAGCAAATTAATTAAAACGAATTTCTCATATAGCTGACTTTTATTCACTAAAATAAACTACAGATCATACAATTTTGCAAATTTCTCGCATTAAAAAGACTCCACACTGTAGCTAGCTAATATATTCACGGTTCCAACCAAACTTAACCCTTGCTTACTTATAATATTAGTCAAAAAGTGTATCGTTTATGCAAATATTTAGTGCAAATAAATTTTAAGAGAATTTTGATTAAGTCACTTCTTGTGCTAAAATTTGTTTAAGAAAATGTAAAATATTTTTCGGTATATGTAAGGTAAAGTCTTTGCTAATTTGGATTTAATTAGATCAAAATATGTTTAACAGAAAATGCTCAAACCAATTTAAAAAAATATTTTACATGGTATTTTATTTGTCTGTACATGTGTATATAATATTTCGGCACACAAATGTGGTAAAAAAAAACATAAACATACCTGATGTGCCAGTATACAGGCTCGATTGACTGCCTCAGCCTCTACTTCCTCCTGCCGCGAGAGCTCGTGGCCCTCTGGACCGGTAACACCAGCGGCCAATAATTTCTGCACATTCTTCGCAATAATATCGCCGTTCTCAGCATGCACCTGTAAATAAAAGCAAATAAATGTAATGCAATTTCAACAGGTTAAACCAATAAAAAATACCTGTGCAACACCGTTTAGCGCACGTATTCGTTCGAAAGCCTCTAGGAGCTCCGAATCATTTAACTGATACAGACCCTTGTAGGCCATAAACATTTTAAAAGAATTGACACCCAACTCTTCGCACATAATTTTCATTTCCTCAGACACAGATTTGGACCACCAAGTAATGCCCACATGGAGCGCATAATCACAGCAGACCTTGGGATCAGCCCAAGCGCGCCATTTATCGTAGGCTTCAACGAGCGATTCACCCTTGTCGGGCAGCACGAAATCGACTGTGAAGTGAAAATCGTTAGTGATATGGAAAATACTAGCAACTCACAATTTTAGTGGTGCCATAGTTCATAACACAATTACTCACTTATGGTTGTGGTGCCGCCAGCTACGGCCGCTTTGGTGCCATGATAGAAATCATCTACAGCGACGCAACCGCCAAACTTCAGTTGCATGTGGGTGTGTGGATCAATGCCACCGGGCAGCACCAATTTGTTTGCAGCATCCACAATGCGTACGCCACCGGGCACAACGATATCGGATGCGGGTCCCACAAATCTAGTATTCGAAAGTATTGATATTTTAGACATTTTCTAACAACTTTCTTATTTTAAAATGCATAATTACTTAATTATGCCATCCTCAATATAAATATCGGCCTTAAATGACTTGTCGTGATTGACGATATGTCCATTCTTGATATAGACGCGGTTCTGGGAGCTCTGATTTGTTGAAATATTAAAAATTTGATTAAGCGTTCGAAAATTGTTGGCATATTTAAAGACTTACCTGAAGGTGGATGGGCACCTTCTTGACGGGTTTTGGACTTGTCGCCATTATAATGGAAATTTATCTGCAATTTAAGAAAGATATTCAATTTAGTTCTAAGCACACATTACTTTAAATCAGTACTTATAAGTTTGGGACAAACAGGTTTAAAATATGTATATAGACGCTATATGATATATCTGAAATATTGTAGATCACCAAATTAACTTCTACTACTAAAACCCCCCTACAGAGCTCTTAGTTGTGTTCCAAAATGGTCTTATTTAAAGATCTGCCTTTGAAAAGAAATCGATTCTTTGGGATTTATAAAAACAACACCGCATATCTGTCAACTTGAGGTTAATTTCTTGAAATTACTTAATCTGTTTTAGCTTGTTTCATATGGATATATATATTGTTCGATCTGAGGCTACTATATTGGAAACAAAATATGTAGAAAATAATTTTCAAAATCCGGAAAAGCGCTAAAAAATAAAGCTTTCAGAACTGTGATCATCTTTGAAAAATTAAAATAACGTTGTCACTGGATTGTTTTACGACTATTTGGAACAACTATTGACAGTTGGTTGATTAGTTGGACCTACGGTTTACACTAGTTGTAAAGCAATTTACAACTAGTTGATTTCTCTGTAGGGGATTTCTAAGTAATTAAGTAAAGTAAAGTTTATATAAAGCAAGCTATCTATATATATTTGTGTATGGAAATTTTATATTTATTAAATATATGCACATACAAATGTATGAAAATTTGATAGTCTTGTCTTATCGGTATTAAAATTTTATAAATCATAAAAATGTGAAATGTCACTCAAAAGAAATCTGCTAATTAAAAAGAGATTACTTATCGCATCTAATTATAAATGTTTAAATATATTTACGTAAAGCTGTTTTATTTTTGTTTATGCGAAATGTTTTTATTTTGGGATTACCAATTTGTAATATTTGCGAGTCAGAAGCCCACCGAGTGAAATATGTTAGACCGTTGTTATATGTTTATAAATAATATATCAGAGCCTAATAAACCAAATTTGACCTAATATGTATTGTGCAGATTTTTTAATACATAGCTGACCGTTAAAAATGACAGCTTTACAATTTTTTGACAATATTTTCACGAGGGTTAGGAAAGGGTTTGTCATCTCGCCCATAATCTGTCAATGTTTCACTTGGAAGGATACACGCGGCATCTTCGAGAAAAAGTTTGCAACTATAAAAATTGATATTTAAGGACTCGAATACCAAAAATAATGACATAACGAACCAGTTTGAGTCTTTTATTAAAACGAAAGCAGAATCAAAAATCAGCTCTAAGCAAATTTTCAAAAGAAGCATCAATTCAACTCAAAGAGAATTTCGAATATAGTTTTAGTGAACTCTAAAAATGTTAGGCAATTGCATATGTATATAGACTTAAGTCGGGTTAAAGCGCATTAAAATATCTTAGCTCAAATTACCTAATGTTTCCGTCGTAAGGTGAAATTTGAGTAAACATTCTCACCTGCATTTTCACACATAAAGAGGTAATATTTATAAAATTTTGGAAAAATTTGCAGAAAAACCGGGGTTCCACTGTTTTGTATAAAACTTCCCAAAATATTATATTATTTTGGATCGATTGGTTTGGGTTTGGCACTTGCAGTTTTGCGTTAAATGCAAACAAATACTTTGTATGTTTGTACTAAAATAATATAATAATATATATTTTACAGTTATAATTAGCAAAACACATAATTGTACTTATGTGGAAACGATCATAAAGATAACCGTTATCACTATATGTGCTGATAAACGTTAAATAAAAGTGTTTATAAACAAAAAATATATAAATAAATAAAAACCAATGTACCAATGTTTGTATGTCTGTTCTCCATCGACACTGTAGAAATTTAAAAAATAAATATTTGCAGTGATTAAATAAAAAAAATTGTACGATAGTAAGAGCTAATAAAACACAGAAAACTGCTTGCTTTATGACAAGACAAACATTGCAACACCTTACAGGTCTCTTGGGTATAAAAATACCGAGGTAAATGCATATACATATGTGAGTTTGCATATACATATATGTAATTATATGTATTTGCAATTTAACCGCAAAACGTTTACTGTTAAGTAAATTAAGTACCCCTGAGGCTAACTCGTATACAATGTAAGTCTGCGGTTCGCTATGTTGCAAGACGCGTTGCCACATAGAGGTCAGGCAGCGGCGCAGGTGAGTCACAACACTCACTTATATAATAAATATGTGAAAATATAGAGTGCCAAGCCGGTCTACGCCCATTTATGCATGCGTGTATATGAAAAAATTACTAGTAACAAATCAACCCCCGGAGATGTCTAGCGTACGCCTAGACAGAGCACAATCATCAGCTGATGGCGTCACTGCCACAGAATTGGGGATCTACTTACATATACTTACATATATGCTGCTGCGTCTGCATTACAAGGAGCAATGTGCCCGTTTTTGGGGTGTGTATGACTCATTGCAAGGACATAAAAATCTCAACGGGCTGCATGTGTTTCCGCAGTCTTTTGGCGAGTTGTTGTATGCGCCGTCCATTATGACCACGCTTTCGAAGTGAAAACACCCTTACAATTCGTCGTGCTTATCTACACGTTACATTGAAGTTGGCAGCCGGTCGAGAGTCGCGATGGCGACACGCGACACTTTGCCTAGATGCCGACACGTGCAGTCACTGATATAAACCATTATCTACTTTGAAGTGGCAATGACGCAGTTTTCTTGACGGATGGGTAAAAAGACTACGTAATACTGCAGTTTTGGCAGTTTGCGGCGAGTTTATACAAGTATATACAATCAACCCTCGAAATCGATTTTATGGTTCAAAAACCACAACAAAACCTGATTGAATGGGTTTGGCTGAGAAATGGTCCGAGTAGCTTAAGTATGCACTAAGTGAGAATAAAATTTTTATGACAAGAAAATTTAATTTATCTAACCCCACATTTCGAGAGAACAGAGTTAACTGACTAGAATTGTTTATATTTAAAAAATAACTTGATTTCGATCGTTTAGATTCAGACGGACATGGTTGTACCTATATAATATTAATAGGGTCTCCGGGCTTCCTTTTGGGAGTTACAAACTTCGTGACAAACTTAATAAACCGTGTTCAGGGTATAAAAATACCAGAGGGACCTTGTTTGATCTTAGAAACTGACGAAACTTTCTATATGGGAATACTTTCGCACTGAGCAATGTAATACTTTGTTCAACTTTGGATCTAGGATGTAGTAATATTCATCTATGTTTCACTTACTGTTTTCAATGATCCACTTGATGGTTACAGCCACTTAGGGTCAGTTTCGAACAAAAGGTGAATGAAGCAATATCTGCGAATCTGCTTAGCAACCTTTTTAATTCAAGGAGATGTCTTACGTAATCCGAATGTAATCTTTAAGGCGTTAAGCATGGAAATAAATATCGAGGAATTCTAAGATCGCTAATCTCTCACTCTTATTCGCCCACAGCATTCAATTTTTTGTCAATTTTACTTTACGACCTCGTGGTGAAGCTATAATATAAAGTACTAGCTTTAAAACTTACGGACTTATCTCCCACCCTTGTACGTTTTAAGCGTGTTCAACCGCAAATCTCAAAGCTTAGCGGAAGCGTATAATTTACCTTTTAATGCGTTTATCCTAATAAGATCATATGTTATTCACTTTCATATTTGTTAGGTGTCGAATTAATTGGTGGAAGCCTTTCAAATGAGAAATACCATATTTTGTATGAACACATCGACACAAAATTGTTTCCTGTATAGTTTTCAATTGCTTTTTCTGTGTGGTAAAGAAAATGTCAAAAAAAATAGATAAGCCATATATGCATATACATATATACACGTATATTACGGTTAAGTAAAAAACGTTTAATTTTTTTCCTTAGATACTGTGAAAATATGGTCTGAAAAGACGAAAAAAAAATCAAACATTATAATGCGACAACTTTACCAAGATTTTTTTCGTCATTTCGGACCATGTTTTCACGGTATCCTACGAAAATAATTAAAAGTTTTTTTGGCCCACGCTAGTATATGGTATATATCGGTGTATGTATATTTAAAAAAATTTGCATAAATATTTGGTAAAAGTACAAGAGGCAATGAACTTGAATTATAGACAGTTTGTCAGCCAACGTGGATGTCTCCAAAGTAGACTGAGGCAAAGAGAGTTTTGATCAGCATACGACCACACGTATCACAAAGGAACCAATCGGTCCAAAACAGCGTGATAAGGAGTGTCTAGAATCGAAAAAAGCCTTATCACCCATACAAGATCGAGGGTTTCGGTTGGAAAAGCAATAGATAATGACATTTGATCGCTTTGAAACGCAAGAAGGGCTCATTACCATATCATCGCAAATGACCTTTGCTTGTCATAAGAACTAATGAAAAAGCTTAGAAGATGCTTCAATGATAACAATTTGACATTGAAAGTTACGCTGGCACTGGCAGGGAAGAGCATTAGCTCAAGCTGGGCTCTGGTTCAAGACGGCATGTGATTGTGTTTTATTGAGTACTATGAAGTTCGATCTAATAGACGACGAAGCATCAAAGTATTGATCAGCAAAGCTCGCTATGAAACCGGTGTCAATTATTTTATGCCGTTCTCAGGATCAAATCATTTCCAAGATAATTGAGCCATTCGATACAATTCGGGCTTGCTTTTTGCTGCACCAGCTTAGATATTAAATATTTTAAAATCTTAAATAAATTCAGATCTGTAAAGAAAGACAAACTGGAGCAATCGACAGACAAAATACTTGAAAGAGTAGTATTGTATGTATACCATATATGAATGCGTGTTTCAATATTTTTAATAATTTATGGAGAAGTTTAATTCCAAAAATATTACAAATTTAAAAACAAGGTAATTATAAACTACCGCCGACTAGAATAAACCAAAACAGAATAATATAAATAGATAAAAATATGTATATGGTACATATTCAGACTTTTATTAATGGTTAACATGGTCATTCATAAATAGCATAAAATCGAGTATCTGTTTGCCATACACACTCGCTTGCTAATGGAGTCA